TTTTCCATTCAAATCCCAAATTAGTCAAGAACACTACAAGTTGGGATTTTTAAGAGTCTCCCTACAAGAGGTATGTCTACCATCTCTAACTAATCTATGGTGATTAGTTATGTATGAAATATATGTTATGACTTATGGGATGGTGATTGGAAGCCACAAATGCCTTAACCTAGGATGTGTTGGTATTGTAGAGATTGTAAAATGAATTAATTGATAACATTTATGGGTTGGGAGTGAAGTGTTGGGCATGCATGTGCTAATGGAAGTTGTGAGGTAAAACATTGGTGTGGAAGGTGGTTATTAGGTGAAGAAATTCCATAGGAGAAGGTTGTAGAAAGATATGCATATTCGATGTTTGATAAAAAGTCTAAATGACTTAAAGTATAGGAATCTTGCTAATATTGGTGCAATTGTATTGCATTGTTGTAGATTGAAGTTGTTTAGTATGGTGGAACATCGTAGTATTATTAAGGGGCGAATTCCAGGTATGTTGGCTAAAATCCTTTTTTGAATTGAACCCCAAAATGGCCTTGTAAGTTCCGTGTTGCTCATTATAAATTGATTATTCCGAATAAGCATTGTGTCAAGATATATATGCATTCAATTTGTAGTCTAAATGTACTTGTTATGTTGAGTTACTATTTGAAAAGGTGATTAAGCGTGGGTTGTGTGTTAATATGTTATGATTTGAAAATGTGATTCTAATGAAAACTAGCATGTCGAATTGTGTAAGAAATCACATGTGCCTAAGACCCTTAATTTGGTTAGTTGCTCAAATGTGTATTTAAAGTCTTGAGTAGAAATACCTTGCTGTTGATAATGTATAAGGATGCTTGAAAGTGAGAGAAATGGGTTGGAGATATAAAGTGTGGCTAACGTGCCAAGAATGAAAGTTATACTTATGGCCAATGGTGTCGAGGAAATGAAATTATGTGAGAAAGGTTATGAAATAGGCCTTGATTCAACTGTCCCAAATTGACTTCGAAATAGATGTGCCTAAAAGCTTATGTGCTCAGGTCATGCCCAAATGTGGTTGTCTTAATTAATGTTATGCTTTGTAAGTATTTCCAAAGTATTTTGAGCTCCTATATGTTCATGAGTTGAAATTTTATATTGCCCTTTTTGGGAAAAAGTATTTCAAAAATGAATGATGTGTTAAGGATTTTCTATTGTGACTTAATTATGTTATACCCCCTTCTTGGGAAGAAAATCTTGTATGAAATCAATGTAATCAAACACTTATTTGTCATATGATGAAACCTTATGAACCTACCCTCACTAAGGCCAAATGTGCCAAACGGTTGTTTGGAAGAGAACCCCTTGTACAAATTATTAACGTTTTGGGAATCTAGAGTTGTGGTGTTGTGATTACACCTCCACCCGCATATATTGGGGTGAGGCAGCAGGGCCGCTTTGTGTTGGGATTGTGGTATTGTGATACACCTCCACCCACATATATTGGGGTGAGGCGGCAGTGCCGCTTTGTGTAGAGATTGTGGTATTGTGATACACCTCCACCCGCATATATTGAGGTGAGGCGACAGGGCTGCTTCGTGTAGGAATTGTGGTATTGTAAAACACATCCACCAGCATATATTGAGGTGAGGCGCCAGGGCCGCTTTGTGTAGCGTTGAGGGTATCGTGATTGCACCTCCACCCGCATACATTGGGGTGAGGCGGCAGGGTCGCTTTGTATAAAGGTAGTTGTAGAGGATCCCCGACTTAAGAATTTATAAATATTATTAAAAGCTTTTAATAAATTTGTTGTTGCTTTAACAACTAACTAAGCCTTTTATTGTTACCATGATTCATCATATTCGTGTTGTATTTCGAAGTCCTTGAATAGGTGTTTTGGTTTTCATACTAGTACTATTCCATATGTACTAACGTCCCTTTTTCTGGGGGCGTTGCATCATCAATGGATGCAGGTGGTTCATCAGCGGGCGGTTTTGATCCTCGTTAGCAGTTACTCTCTATTCAGCAGATTTTGGTGAGCCCTACTCTGTTCCGGGCTTCATGTCATTTGACGTTGTACTTTATGTTTTGAGGTATAGTCCGGGCCTTATCGTCGGCACTTTCATACTACTCTTCGGTTGTACTTAGAGGCTCCGTAGACATAGTGTGGGTTGTATGGTGTTGTTGGAAGAGTCAACTAGATATGTTGTATTTGTATCACAGGTCCCATTTCAAAATATAATTTTGTATATATTTTTTGGGAATTATGAAAGAAGTAACCGTTGGTGATGGAATTGGAATTATTCATGAAATCATCTAATGTTTAATTGTTGATATATATATATATATATATATATATATATATATATATTCTCTTTATTCATGGGTAGGTTGGATAGAAGGTATGTACATGCTGGCTTGACCGGGGTATCTTGGTTGAGTACCGGTCACGCTCCCCAAGGTCGGGGCGTGACAGGAGATTTCAATTCATGTCACTCCCATCATGCGGAGACTTACATTTTAGTCACTCCCATTGTGCGGAGATTTACTTTCTTGTCCCTCCCATTGCGTGGAGATTTTACTTTCTTGTCAGCATTCCTAAATGGAACGGTACCTAGCCCCGTACTAATAATACTCCTATACGAAATGGTACACAGCCTGCCATTTTACTTTTCTTATCAGCGCTCCTAAACGGAACGGTACCCAGTCCCGTATTAATAATGCTCCTATATGGAACGGTACACAGCCTGTCATTTTACTTTCATGTTAGCGCTCCTAAACGGAACGGTACTCATTCCCCGTACTAAAAATGCTCCTATATGGAACGGTACACAGCCCGTCATGTTACTTTCATGCCAGCGCTCCTAAATGGAATGGTACTTATCCCCGTACTAACTATGCTCCTATACGGAATAATACTGATGACGTCCAAATTCACTACTAAAAAGTAAATGAACACGGTTGCATGCAATATAATTTACCCAACTATGAGTCGGGGTCAAATCCCACAGAGAACAATATGTAGGCGATTAAGCGTGTAAGAGAATTATCACTTATTATGCTAAGTCAAACACTTAGAAAGGTTTTGAGAAACTATTTATAACTAATTACGAAAATGTAAACTAACTTAGAAAGCGAATAAAATAATCAATGGCTACTAGCATGGATGCATTGGGAATTACACTCAAGTAACGATCTAATGTATTTCACGATTTTACAAATATGAGTGAGTTTATGCTAATTAGCCTCGGGTAATAATTCTATATTAGCTTCTTCCGAAGACTAACAAGACTTTCTAATTGAATTATCCCTAAAATAATTAAGAGATTAAGCATAGCCGAATATGGCTACAAGTAGTTCAATCCTAACCCTATGTAGAATCTATAAAGTGTGGGTTAATGCCTCAAGTTCTTGTTAATTATTCTTTTCCAACCCCAAATTATTTTTTTCAAAATTAATTCGAAGTGAATGGGCGAGTCCTAGGGTTAGCTAATCCCGTTAGAAATATTAAAGAACAAGAATAATTAAAGAAATAATAACTCACTTCATAATAAATCAAAATAGTTCAATACATAAGCAAAGGAAGATATTTAATCCACACTTTATATATGAATATTCTCATAAACAAGATTCAAGTGTTGGAAATAATACTACACACTTAGATATTCAATACAAAGCAAGAAAATGAAGAAATGGACATAAATGGGTAAGAAATTCTCAACCAAAAACTTTAAATCTTCAAGACACAAGTGTGTGTGCAAGAACCCTTGCTCCAAAACTTGTGTTCTCTAGTCAAGAGACTGAAAATAAGCCAAAAGATATTTTACAAATGAGCTAGGTAGTGTATTTGTGGGTTTGGGATAGGGAAAATGTGAATTGCTAAATTTGTCCAGAGCTGAAGCCCCTTGGCTGCACCTGCGGAACAATACTCGCAGGTGCGGTTCCGCAGATGCGGATGCCTTCTCGCAGAAGTGATGATTGGTGGAAAATGGTTGTTCCGCAGAAGCGGCCAAAAGAACGCAGAAGCATGTCCACAGAAGTGGTCTTCAAGCACAGAAGCGCGACCGCATAAGCGGTTCATCAATCACAAATGTGATTTCTGTCTTGCAAGTCTCATTCCGCAGATGCGGACCTTTTCTCGCAGATGCGAGACCGCAGGTGCGGACCTGCTTGTGCATATGCGATTCCACTGGAAATATTTTCATTTCTTTTACTCTTTTTGCACAATTTCACTTCATTTGATCTCAACTCTCTTCAAGGTTCATTGTACTTGAAAATTTAGCAATGCACACTATAAATCACCTCATTTTATAATTAAAGGACACAAAAATTAAAGAAAAGAGACTAGAATAAATCGTAAAATCACCACCCATCAGGTACACAACCCATTATTTTACTTATCTGTCAGCGCTCCTAAACGGAATGGTTCCCAGCCTCGTACTAACAATGCTCCTATATGAAACGGTACACACCCCGTCATTTTACTTTCCCGTCCATGCTCTTATACAGAATGGTAACTACAAAGCTCATCTAACATTCAATGCTCCCATAGCGCTTCAGAACGGTAACCACAAAGCCCATTTTACATTCAATTCTCTTTATCAAAAACCAAAGTGGAGGCGACAAGCATGAAAAGATAAAAGATGCAAAGTCCAAGACAATCAGAGACATCACTACAAGAAACTGGACTTATTGTGGCGACATATTGTGGCGACCCATTTGGTTGCAGCAAAAGTTATAATTTTAATGGCGACTTTAAATGTTGCTATAAAATGATAATATTTAGTAGTGACTTTATTAGGTCGCCTCTGATATGCGCAACTAAAGGCTGAAATATTTCATTCCCGCGAGAATAAAATTTTGGCTCCACGGATTTTATGGCGACTTTAAAAATGTCGTCGCTAATTATATTTTGGAGAGACAGGGTCGCCTCTATTACTTAGTGATTTAATTTTAAAAGAAACAAAAAAAAGAGGCGCATTACAATTAAAAGAACAGAAGGCCTTAAATGACTAAAATTGTTGCTTTCCCCTTCATTTCTCAATTTTATTGCCCCTCTCACTAGAAACCCTCTCTCTTCTAAAAATCACTGCTTTCCCTTATTCTGCTCAAAATCCCTCTTTGCTCAAAATCCCTAAAATCAGAAAATCTGAATCTCATATAGATGCTTCATCTCTCAACTCCTAATTAAAAGAAGAACTATGTTGGCTGCTCCGTTTCTCTGCTTCTAGTTACTGACCCAAAAGCTCAAATCATGTATGTGTTCAAATCCCTAATACTTTTATTTTTCTTTTGGGTTATACGAAAGTATGTTGTATTTTCTTAGGATTTTCCAAATACAACAAGTATGAAGGGAAAATTTTACATTTGGGGTTCTTTATAATGATTCTAGAAGGCAAAATTTTTAACATGCATCTAGCAATAATTATTATTTTATTATTTTTACATTTGTATTCTCATATTTCATCTCAAATTTGTTTGACCCATTTGAATATTTACAGGAATTCGTACATAATATGTCATCTAAGTGTTGTTATTTGCTGATTCTAAGTTTTGACTGAACTCTCAGCTATATATTTTTCTGGGTGAGTGAAAGTTTCTTCTTGAAAGGAGAGAATCCTAGCAGTTTCTGTTTCGGTTTCTTCTTGTGGCTATAACTGCGTATGAAGAACCTCCAGTGAAATTAATGTTTTTGGAGCGTATATGGCAGCACATTTAGTCACAGTTTTTCCTTGAATCTTTAAAAGACATGTATATAGCCTATAACTCTTGTTTCTTAAGATTTTATTCCTTGCTTTGTCAAGATCCTTTCCTTTGCCACATGAAACATATATTGCAGTATACTCTCACTCTCTAGGACTACATTTATATCATTTCCCACTCAAAACTTGTACTTTATTTGTCTATGCATATTTTGGATATAATAAATTTCATTATGTTCCTTTCATTGCTTTCTTCTAGCAGGGATATGGTACTTCTTAACCAGTAGTGTCGATCAAGGATGTCGTCCACCAAGGAGCAATTACAAGGTACTTAATATTTTATCTTCTTTTTTGGGTTATATATATATGGATACAATGTCAGTGCACAATAAAGTGTCATGTAGTATATATGTAATTGCTATTTTAGTGATTGAAATATTTATAATATTCGGTTTGAGAAATTATTTTGATGTTTGTTGCATATTATTGAATACTTTTAATATTGGTTGGAAATTGATATGAATATCCATATATTAAATTTTAGAGTAACATGTTGCTACTGGAAATGTATATAATTATGGTCACTATAGTTGTTGATAAAATAGGTATTAGTGGCGACATAATATTGTTACAAAAAATTAGTATTTGTTGCGATATGAAAGTTGACACTGTTGGTTTCTTTGTTTTGTAGCGATTGAGGTCGCTACAAAAAGGCATTAATCTCTTTTCATGGATTTACCACTTTGTGGCGACAAAAGGTTGCCACTAAACATATATTGTTTTGTAGCGATGGTAGTCGCAGCTAAGGCTCATATACAGTGGCGACAAAACTTGTCACTACATATGCAATATTTTGTAGCGATAGTAGTCGCAACTAAAGGTGAATATACAACGGCGACCTAATTAAAATTTATTCTTGTGAAATTATTTTTTGTAGCGTATTTGTGTACTTTTTGTGGCGACCAGGTCGCTACAAATGGGGTACTTTTTGTGGCGACTCGTAATATCGCCGCAAATCACATTTAGTTACGGTTGTACTTGCAGCAACGCGAAAGTCAACACTAATAAGTTGTAGCAGCGACTTTCATAGATTTTGCAGCGACTTTGGTCGCCACAAGAAGGCTGAATTCTTATAGTGCATGACTTCAAGAAAAGAAAAAGGAAACTCCGCAAATTCAAAAGGGGGATCCAACAAAAAGGAGAATACTTTCGCAAATTCCAAAAAAAATCAAAAAATAAATGAGGAGAAAACTCCACAAATTTAAAGAGAAGGAACTCCAACAAAATGAGGAAAAACTCCTGCAAATCAGGAGAAACTTCAAATGAAAAAAAGAAGAAGAGAAAACTCTCGAAAAGAAAGAAGAACCTCCGACAAGTTCAAAAAGAAGTCAAAACAAAGAAAGGGACATCGAGCCGAACAAGATCAAATGTCGAAGCATGGTTTGAGTACCGAAGACACGGACACAGTGCAACGCTCAAGGAGAGATTAACCACTTTTACCCCAAATGAATATCCTACCCTTCACTAAAGCCCGCATTACAAGCCGATAACATAGACATATATGATCCTATTACAAGTGTTCTCACATTAGTGGATACTCACATAAAGTTCAAGCATATGGTATCTCAATTGCATGCATTGAACATCTTTCTGAGTGTGAGTGTACTTCTCAAAATGTCCTAAAGTCAAAATACAAAAAAAAAATACTTCAAATATGTGTGCAAATTAGGACTTTCTTTGTGGTGACGACACTTGAAACACGAGTTAGGAATAATTCAAAACCTTTGATTGAAGCAAGATAAACAAATCTTGTCGAACTTAAGTATACCTGAGGTACTACTCGAAGCTATAGGAATTACCCATAAGCTGATCTCGATTTGTCGGAAAGTATATAGTGGAAATTCTTATGTACAAAACTAATTGTTGGTACGAACCAATGTCAAGTAAAAAAAGAGATGATGATTAATCAATAAATCACACTCTTTCTCTTCTCTTCTAATTTTCTAATATTCTCTACAAAAAGCTACAAAAGCAGCGAAAAATACAAAAAATAAAAGACTCAAATTTTGTTGACGGTAGAGTTAGGTCTTGTTGTAACAGAACTACGCCCAACCTGACTTCCCATGGTGGGATACGTAGGAAACCCACGTAGGTTCCGGTCCCATTCTTGTAATATAAAATCAAAAAAATCATTTATATACATTCGGAACTACACCGCGACTTGATTTTCTTTGGTAGGAATACGTAGGCAATCCACATCGAATTCAGTCATCTTTTGTCATCGAACTACATTTCGACCTAATTCCATTGGGATACTTAGGGAGTCTAAGTCAGACCCGGCTATATCATTTCAAAATTCTATCATTGTGCATCTATTACCTACTCGAATCATTAATAACAGAACTATCTTCATCAATTTTCTTACATATAAAAAAATATAGCATCTTGGTTTTTCAGGCGCCCTCCTGAACAATGGAAATTTTATTTCAATGTCAAATTTTCCAGGCGCCCCTCCTAAACAATGGGCATTTTATTTTAATGTCAAATTTTCCAGGCGTCCTCCTGAACAAATGGGCATTTCATTTAAACGTTCAAATTTTTCAGGCGCCCTCCTGAATAATGGGCATTTTATTTCAAGTTCAATTTTACAGGCGCCTACCTTCTAATACGCGTATCTTAGATTTAAGTGCTCTGATCACTTCGGATTGATACTCAGCCCTAATTTCCTTCAAAAATCAAAGTGCTCTGATCACTTCGGATCGGTATCTAGCCCGGATAACTTTTGAAATAGAGTTCCAACCCGGGACCCTATTTCGTTCAAAAATCATATATCCATCTTTGTCAAATCAGACGAAAGCATAGTCCACACATCGTCAACTCTACCGTTCAAAGACGCGACACAACGTGGAACTATCTTCTAGCAAATAAACTAGGAAAAATTCTGAGAACGAACGTCGAGCTTTCCAACAGCAATCGACAGCATGTCTCAAGTATTGTTCTTACGTCCCATTGAAATGGGGTGTGTAGGTAATCCAAACCCCAGAGTCATAAAATACCTAGTGTCATCACAGCATGATGCCGGAGAAATTTTCAAATCAATAATCAAAATCAAATCATCCATAGCTTTCTTGAACTACAACCGTCCTGATTCTCGTTACATCCGAGATATGTAGGAAAAATCAACACAGAGCCTGACAGCATCCACATCAAAATCCATTCAAATCAATCCACCTGTCATCTAACATCCACGTCCTAGTGTTACCACAGTCCTACACTGGGGCAATCTTGGAAGCAATCGGGATCACACGAACCTTTTCGTCCTCGAACATTTGCCTTCCACTCCCTGAGGCTACGATTCACATGTAGTACTCAATCTTCTAGAACTACACGCGGCCTGATTCTCGTGCAACCTAAGATATGTAGGCAACTCAGAAATCAGAGTTCAGTCACAACCTTCAAAACATCCTCCATTACCCATGCTGTCATGTCAGGTCAAAATTGAATATGGTGTCAATTTCTTTGCCCGAAGACTCTTACATCATCTCCGGTCAAAGAGGGGTAGCTGTTGATACCCAATTTTGACTCTCCGTATTTTAAAATTAACTTTTGCAAGCTACCTAATCAAAAAATAATAAAAAATAGTTTTTGCACATTATTTAGCTTTAATGCAATTTATTGATAATTATTTCTAATTTTACAAAATATGAAAAAAAATTCATTTTATTACAATTAGTTAAAAACTACCATTTTGTGCATTTTTCTAAAAATCAAAATAATTTATTGATTATTATTTTATTTTCCAAATATTAGGAAATTCTATCAATTCATTATTCTTCAAAAATAATAATTACTTCAATATTGTTGTAGTAGTTGACATTTTAATAAATACTACGAGTCATAATTTTGCTAAATAATCATCTTTTAATCTATAGAACAATATGTTAATTACTTGGAAGCCAGTAAAATTTATCTCAAAATACGGATCACATCCGGTCAAGCACAATGTCGTGTTAACACACTTGATGTGACAATACCTTTAGACATGTGACATGACACTTGATGTGACATGTCATGTGATGTGACATGACTCTCTTTTGTCTAATGGGTAAACCTTCTACCCATCAGGTAAAGTCTATTGGTTTGTCTTCTCCCGTAAGTAAAATAAATTGCACTGATATACATATGCATATGAAGAGGGCTAACAAGGAGGAGTATAAGAAGGCTAAGAGGGAGGCGAAGTTAGCGGTTACTGCAGCTAAGACCGAGGCGTTTGATCATTTATATGAAGAATTTGTAGACAAAGGCGGGGATAAGAAGTTGTACAGGCTGGCGAAGGTGAGTGAGAGGAAGGCCCGTGATCTGGATCAAGTAAGGTGCATAAAAGACGAGGAGGGTAGATTTCTATTGGAGGGGGCACAGATTAGGCAGAGATGACAATCTTACTTCCAGAAACTCTTGAATGAAAAGGGAGATAGGAGCGTTGTGCTAGGTGAGTTGGAGTACTCAGAGCGACTTTGGTATTTTGGGCACTGTAAATGCATAAGAGTGGGGGAGGTTGTAGGGGCTATATGCAGGATGAGTAGGGGTAGAGCAATTGGGTAAGGCGGGTTTGGAATGGCTCTCTAGGTTGTTTAACGTCATTTTTAGGACGAAGAAGATGCCTGAATAGTGGAGGTGGAGTACGATGATTTCATTGTACAAGAACAAGGGGGATATCCAAAACTGCAACAACTAGAGGGGTATCAAGTTGTTGAGCCATACGATGAAAGTTTGGGAGAGGGTGATAGAAGGGAGGATGAGGATGAGTGTGTCCATTTTCGAGAACCAGTTTGGTTTTATGATCGACTACTGAAGCTATTCATCTTGTGAGGAGATTGGTGGATCAGTATAGGGCGATGAAGGAGGACTTGCATATGGTGGATCAGTATAGGGCGATGAAGGAGGACTTGCATATGGTGTTCATTGACCTAGAGAAAGCTTATGACAAAGTCCCAAGAGAAGTCCTATGGAGATGTTCAGAGGCTAAAGGAGTGCCTGTAGCATATATTTGAGTAATCCAGGACATGTATGATGGATCAAAGACACGGGTAAGGGCAGCATTAGGGGACTCTGAATACTTTTCGGTTGAGATGGGGTTGCATAAGAGGTCAGCACTTAGCCCGTTTTTATATTCCTTAGCAATGGATGCATTGACGTGACACATTCAAGGGGAGGTATCTTGGTGCATGTTATTTGCAGATAACATAGTTCTGATTGATAAGACGCGAGGTGGTGTTAATGAGAGGTTGGAGGTATGGAGACATTATCACGACCCAAACCGATGGGCT